TTCCAAATTTCTAAATTCTAATGCAAATCGAGTTCATTACATTCACTTACACTTAGAAAAGGTATGAATCCATCTCCTCCCTCCCCGCTATGGATAAATAGCAGGACAGATTTGGCTCTATAGCCTTGGTTGGCAACCAGTCTAGGAGAAGGAAAACTGAATTCAAACCAGCCTAAAGAGGGTTGAACTTTGTTAGGCTGTCTTATCCAAGACAAACCACTGCTACTGTGACTGCAGTACATGTGGTTCCCCTATGACCATAAGGGAGTGCGGCATTTGTGATAGTGAATACGAAAAATTTTGAACGAAAATTAAAGGCAAAAAGGAATCGAGTTATACACAAGTACACGTTTTCAGAAATTTTTACTCAGCTTTAAAAAAAAAACTCTTATTAGAAACAGCAAGATTGCAAATACACTTAACACCATAGCTAACGAAACAAAGTAAGTACTGTATTGATAATTGTTTGCAAAAGGTTCTTTATATGTCGACAACATTTGTTCTTTGGAAATCAGCGTAATTAAACGTCTCATGTCTCAAAAGAGGAATTAAAAAATAATTAAAGAATACACAATATTTGTTATATTTTGATAATACTAATGTTACAACAAAGCACCTTTCCCCGAAATTTTAAAAATAAGTTTTGAAACGGAAATTAGAAGAAACACGCAATAGCTTTAACATCCGGTTCATTGTATTTTTTTAATATCATGAAAAATTAAATATTTTAGTGAAATATATGTACGATATTGAGACTTTAATGGGTTATATGGTACAACTTTTCAAAGCGATTCGCATAGAGATGGACGTACTAGAAGGATCCAATTTATTCTATTTTTAGCTTCAGAAACACAGGGTCGAATTATAGTCGCGTCGTATTATACACAAAAAAATACGGTATGTGGCTTTTTTGCAGTATCAGACCCAGATATTGTCAGAAAACCAAGTATGTTTTAAACCAACGCTTTAAACCAATAGACTATATGTCATCTAAGAAAGTAAAGCTTTGTGGAGTACTTCATTTGGATTTTAATCTAAAAACTGCCTAATACAAGCAGTATTCAGTGAAGGATAAGAAAACCCATCTTTGCCAACACGTCCTCATCTAAAATTTACGTCCTCTAATATTGAAATCATTAGAATTATGATATCATTCTGTTCAAACTATCATCACTGTTGATATTTTCGAGTTCTTTGACAATTTTTTTTACAAATGTTACTTAAAGACAAATGGCCGTAATCCAAGCCAATGAAAAAAGAGAGAGAGAGAGAGAGAGAGAGAGAGAGAGAGAGAGAAAAAGGAAAGGATGATTCCAGATTTAAATTTGGCCAGCTTTGGAATGAATGATTTTTTTTCATCAAGCATAAATTCATAATATTCACTGCTAGATTATATCAGTTCGCAAATGAAGTAGTCACTCTTGAAAATTGCACACACACACACATATATATGTGTGTGTGTGTACATGTATCATGTTTAAAGTGTGTTATATTTATTGAGGATGATGCTCAATATCGGAGATAGAGCGTTTGTAAATAGTGTACATATTGGAATCGACACTGAAATTCACCATGCTGTGCTGATTGCTATGTCGACACACATATACAATATATATATATATACAAGTATATAATTGGTGTATACGGAATGAATTCCAATAACCAACAATTACTATTCTTAAAAGAGTGCTCAATACAGAGTAGAGCAGATACAATTATTTATTTTTAAAAATTTATAACATAAATATGTTATAAAATCACTACAAAAATATATATATAAAAGAAAGGGAAAAATAGTAATAGAAAGAGTAAAAATGTGGATATAGAAATCAACACTGTTTACATCTACAAAATGCACTATACTTAATATTCAGAGAGAGAGAGAGAGAGAGAGAGAGAGAATAAAACAGTGGATATAAAAATCAATGCTGCTTATATCTACAAAATACCATATCCTTAATATTGAGTAGTTTTCCTACATAAATATAGAACATTTTAAACAATATAAATATATAGAATTTTCGAATGATTTAATTGTTTTCTTTCAGAATTATATGAATAACCTGATGTTTTATTCCTCAACCTCAAAGTCTCCGACTTATTTATTTTAATAAGAATATGTATATACAATAAACTAATATAGGAAACATAACGAGTCTTTCATGTAATAATCTAATAATAGGAATGCTTTCATATATAGTTATAATTTGTCAACAATGAAGTTTTTTCAGGTTTTTGACTGAGAACGAAAGCTGCTTATTTCAAAGTTCATTTTTTATATATTTTATGTTCGTTGTTGTTTAATTCCTATCAAACTTGTTTCTAAGTATGACTGCTGCTCCTTTTCCACTCGAGATCGAACTAGTAACCTAATATCCAAGTTTGTGCACCCAACTTTCACTTTTATGACATTATTGCCAAATTTAGGGAATAATTATTTCTTAAGGTGTGACTGTAAATTAAAAAACTCAACTGTATTTGATAAAAGTGATAAATTAATTGGATTGAAATTAAATTTTAGAAAAACTAAAAATTAATTAAAATAAAAATAATTTTGTAAAAGAGATCAGATGTTACTCATGTCATGAAAGCAATGTGAAAACATCTGTAACAACTGCTCATTACATAAGGTTGACCTCCGACCCTCGACTGCCACAAAACCGAAGCTATTTATAGTATGTCTGATATGACACGGGAGATAAATTTGGAGATTAATTAGCGGTCGTGTGTCAAAAATATAATCGATGGTCGAATAAAAAGTGCAGGTTAGCATTGAATAATAACAATAAAAACTAATGACTGTGATTATCAGGTAATCCAATCGCGCGCGCCTGTCGACCTGGGCAGATGGCTATTCGTGACGTCAGCATCAAGTGAATAGTTACATGAGGGAACAACGTTCGTTGTCATAAGCCGTTCCCATTGATGAACAAATAGGTCGTAGTAAATATTATATACAGGCATATATACATATATTTTGAAGCAAAATAACTCATCACGCACATGCGTATATTCACTACACTTATGCAAGCATTTAAATAACGGGGTGATTCGACTTACTTTCTCTGCCAGGTTTGTGAGATTTTTATGTCATTATTAACTATGCAAGATTTTTAAAAAATAGTTTCACACTGTATTATAAAGAAAAATTCAATGTTTTCTTCATTAAAATTTTATGTTCAATTTTTGTGTTTGAATGTTCTGATGCGCCTATCTTTATCTGAATCTTGTTGCTTCATGGATTCATTTTAAATTCAGCTTTAAATAGTATTCATCTGTGTACTTTAAGAAAAAGACTTCTGAAATCTTCGCTATATTTGTTTATAAATGATAATTCTCATGTCTTTTGTGTTATGCCTTGTTATAGTAGGACCGTGTTTTTTTATTAACGAATCTTTGTAAGTTCAATCATTGTGCGTTTCTGGCTGGTGCAAAGATTAGCCAACAATTTTATCTCATTACAGGTATTCTATAACATCTTAAAATCATATATTTATTATATTATTTTTATTTAATTATTAATTATTTCTGCATAACAGTTTCTCTGTTATTTGGCCCACTTATTTGGTATGAGGAAAGTGATTAGTCTTAAAGAAAGTTAAAGATTAGAATTGCAAAATAAACAAAGGGAGACTCATATGGTAAAACTCATTTGCTACATTTATTTATTTCATTTAATTAATATTTATTTATCTGAATAAGTTTAAATTTAAAGGATGTATCCGATATTTTATTAGAGCCTAAACAAAAGGATAAAATGAGAAAATTGAATATGTATATATTTTTTCGATAGATCTGTCATTGGCTTCGATATCTGTAATAATAACACGAAATGATAAAGAATGAAAATTAAAATAGTGAAACGTGTGTATTTACACAACGTATTTCTGTACAGATTATGCAATATAATCCAGGATATGAATAATGTACACTATGTTCAAAAAACCAGACAGCTAGTCTTGTAATCAAGATTGTTTTTTTTTCTTTTCATATTTACGCCACACAGAGAGATTCTATTGACTTCAAAGTTCTTGTTTTCCCTCCATTACTCTGTCAGACGAATTTTTATAGAGTAAAAGTCTTTAATTTTACTTAATTTTAAGTACTTTGTCAAAACTATAATTATTTAGCTTATTCATTCAATTTAATAAAGGATGAAAGTAGCAAAAAAGAAAAAAAAATGTTTCTTGGGTGTCCCGGCCGTGAATACCGTGGAGAATCGAATTAGTGAACAAAGTTCAAATATTGGTTGGGACAGTTTGCGCCCACTTTGAGAAAGGCAGGAACTCGCTACTCTTCCCAGCTATGAGTAAATAGTAGGGCAGTTGGGGTGCTTTAGCGTTGAAAGACAGTCCGTCCTAGGCGCCGGGATAGTGTCACGGCCTAGTAAAAATGTACCTGATACTGAAGACGCAGCAGAATCGCGTGTTGTAGCTTCGGTCCTATGCTTCACAAAGAGACTACAAGTAAACGTGCACTTTTATTCTATTTTATACGGTTGATATGTCTATACTCTAGTAAATAATAAAGTAACATTTATGGTCAAATATTCTCGAGGTAATAAACAGGAAAATATTTAATAAAATGAACTATACTTCTAGTTAGCTACTTAAATATTGCTATCAATAATACTTCACAAAATTATTTTCTTTTACACATTAAAATTGTTCTACAAAGAAAACTCTTAGAGACTATAAGTCATTTCCTACTTCAATGGTTTTAGATAGGTTACAGACGGACTAATATCCCAATCTTTGTTGTTGTTGCCCACGACGTTTCGTTCGTTCTCCTACCTTCACCAGGTGTAGAATTTCGAACTAAACCCTTTATTTAATCTACGCGGAAGATTGTTCTTGTTCCACTCTTCATGTCTATGTTTGTCTCGTCTTTTTTTAAAGACGTGGAGAGCGAAACAAGAAAAATCTAACTCTGTATATTAAATAATGGGTTCATTTCGAAATTCCTTGACCGCTTCGACAGATACCTGAACAAGGACGGAGAGCACAACGGCCGAAACGCTATGATAATAACAACAAATATATTAATCCGAATGTAAATAATGAAAATAAAGATCATTTCTCATTCGAAAAAAATCAGATTTATATTATAATGACCTGATTTCTGTTGATGTATATGTTACAGTATAAGAGCAAAAGTACGGAACATTGCTGCGAGACTTTTGATAGAGCATTCCGACAGGATTCTAACTTCATCCTAATTTGAAGAATAAAGTTGAAAGTGTAGCTGGAGTTTGATTAAGTACAGATTAGTCTCTTATTTATTTGCCAACAACTGTAATATAAATGCAATAAGTAGGAAGTGACTTTAAATCGAGCTTAACAGCCGCCTTTAGCAGCCTTTAAGGAAATACAAATAGAACGATCATTAGAACGCTATTCTAGCAAGTCGTTGTTAGAGCGTTCGTTCATAAATTTGGCTTTATAGTATAGGTAAATAAATCCACTACTCAACGATTCAGAAAAAATTAATATTTTTTAACTGTTTAATAATTGCAAAACATAATATGTTTACATAATATAAAAATCAACCTTAGAAGTATGAATGAATATGTGCTTTTTGATATTAATTAAAAATAAATTCAACTGATATACTTTTTAATTCCTCTTACAAGAACCTACTCATAGCGGAATGTTTTTTGAGATCCCTGCAAGCATCTTTGAAAACAAGGTTTTACGTATGCTTTCGTGTATTAATTATTATATAGCTGATAAAAAGAAAGTTCTGTAGAACGATAGTTATTGGGCTGGTATGACAAAAATTGCCAGAAGATATTTTCTTGACACTTACAAAATTTGACCTTGTGCCAAATTACGAAATAAATATGGTGGAGATATTTGTAAGTTTTGATCAACTGAGATAACTAAATCTCAAGTTTGGTCTTAATTTCAAAGAAACGCGATTGGACGTTCAAATTTTGAAAATAAACTATTTACTAAATCATTGTTCCTTTATTTATTCTTCAGCAGTGAAACACCCATGTTCATTAAGAAAGTCAATTTTACTTGGACAACAATCTTAAAATGTGAATCTTTTCCTTCAGATTGCTATATTTCTGTATATCATTGGATTAAAATGTAACTACAGATAATCTTAAATTTTACTTTAGAGGCTCATATGGAAAATATGACATGAGTTTTTCTGTTAATTCACCCCCAAATATAAATTCACCCAAAATAAAAAGAATTTGTATTTGCTCAAATTCACACCAAAATCGAGGTACTTCCATTGCACTCCGGTTGGATTAACCTTTGCGATTGCCCCAAATGTGGGTGACTCGGGTGCGCTATTTCTGAGTGTGGTGTCAGCATTCGCGCCAACCCCAATAAACAAGCCAAAAACAGATTTTAAAAAAAAAAATTTTTATTGTAAAATATTACTCGAATATCATCTGCACTTACAAAATGTGAATAACTCCCTGATTTTTGGTAATTTTTCATTCTGAAAGTTGGGTTGTTGCGAGGCAAACTAAACAAATTTTGATTTAAAATTTATAATTTCTTGGGTTAATTAATATTTTCGATAAATAACTTTACATTATTTGAGATGAATTAACAGAAAAGTTCCATATGATATACAAATCTATATATCCGACTACCGAGTGAGTAAGCGAATGACAAAATAGAAAAAAAAAACGCTTTTAGTGATGCATTTTGTTACGACAAAGAAGTTTCTTCAGACTGATAAGGATTTTATTGGTGGAGACAGTCTTATGTATATTAGGTGGGGAGAAGGTAGCAGGAGGATAGAAACACAAAAAAAAATACTGATTGCAATTTTAAATCGAAAATATGGAAGATAAAGAGACGCTAATCATGAAATTTAATTTTTAACGTCCGGTGGTTCTGCTTGTTTAATTAGCCTATCGCATTTTGCTTTTAACTCGTTTGTTTTTGTTTTATTTATATCACTATTGTCTTTTAATTATCCCACATTGTATCAGCAGGAGTTTTGTGTGGAAAGGCTTCTTGTGGGACCATGTATGTAAATTTACCATAGAGGATTCCGAAATTAATGCACAACTTTCAATGCATTTTTTAGTAATTTCTCTTTTAATTAAAACTGGATTATTTAATTGAAATTATGCTCAGATCTGTTACGATAAACTACTAATGCATTGATTGTTTTATAAAAGATCGCTTTTATGTTTATATAATCTTTTATTTAAATCCCTAAATGTCTCACTTATGTAATTCTTGTGACGTTTTTGTAGTCTATTTTTTTTAGATTCCGCCTTCAGCTTGTTATTTTATTATGTATTATAATTTTTGAAGTAGTTGCAACAAGTTTTGTTTAAGATTTATAAAGAAAGGAATAAATTTTTTTTTTATTAACCCGACAGATTTTTATTAGTGGGTACTCGTATTTGAGTGGACGTTCCGTTTATTTATTAAATACTATTTTCGTCTGAATATTCGGCCTGAATATTAGAGAGACGACAGAACTAATGATGGTTTCCCCTAGGGGAACGCAGGTTCGAATCCTGTCGGAGAACCCATTTTCTTTTTCTCAGTTATGGGATTTCTCAGTTATGTGCCGTGCGTGATACACGATTAGACGATCATGTATCTTTCGATACATAACTGGCAATTTTTTTCCCGCAGTAGGTTTCCATTTCTTTTTGCGATAGACCAGGCTATAGAACCCGGTCTGTCCTGCTATTTACCCATATCTGGGGAGAAGAAGAAGATTCATATCTTTCCCTTTCCTTTTTTTGAGAATGTAATGGATCTGACTGGAATTCGAACTCCGAATTCTCAATCCGAGTCGCTATCCATTACACAATCGTGCCTCCTAATCAAGTCAGTAAAATACTATTTAATAAACGGAACGGCTACTCAAATACGAGTATCCACTAAAAATAACGTTTAATTAATAAGATTTATATAAATGCTATTCAATTCTAGTCGCATGCAGTATATTGTACTTGGTTTTAACAAAGTTGTGTCATATTCTTTTGTTTTTTGTGGCTTTTGTAAGCATGCTTCGTTTTCTATATAAAATATTTAGGATATTAAAGAACTTTAAAAGACTCTTATATACTTACAAGCATAAATAAAGAGCATCGGAGATTTACTGTTCAAAATGAAAGTATCAATCAATCTGCACATGACTTGCTTCACAAAACAAACTGATTCGAACAGAAGGTCATATTTTCGTACTTTAATGAGGATAATCGAAACGTCTTCAATACTAAAGGTCATTCGGTGAACTAAACAGAATGAAATTTATTCGTTGTAGTAAAACAAAAACAAAAACTAATTGCCGCCTTAACACGTGTCTACTCCACTCGAATCCTATACCACTTGTGTCCGTCCTGGGTATCACGATAAATTACATTCGGCAGCAAGCCTTCTGATTGGAAGATTTTGAGGAGCATGAAACTTAATCTTAATTGCTGTTGTTCCCAGGTCCACCCTAACCCGGGGTGGTAGCACCTGTTAGGATCCCAGCTATGAGAAAATAGTTACCCCCCCCCCGAAAAAAAAAACTGGGGTCAAAACAGCATGAAAGTATAAAAATAGATTTTTTTATAGTAAAAATTCCTAACAATACCATTTGGAAAAAATATTACCAGCAATACCTTTTGAAAAAAGTATTACCAGCAATATATTTTTGAAAAAGAAAAAATATTACCAGCAATTCATTTTTTGAAAAAAAAAATAATACCAGCAATACATTTGACTCTCTTGTAGTCTGAATTTAAGGCATTTCACTCGACAAAAACCCTCTTCACAAAAATACGTTAATGAAACCTGATCTACAAACTGTTTTGTTACAAAGAATACATATTCTATTCATACGAATCTATCATAAAAATCTTGTCAGTATTAAATAACTCATTGAGGTTGATATGCCATAAAACAAAATGAACCAAACCACATGTGCCAAACTTGTAATTTATCCGCATGTAACTGTTTCATTTTGAGAATACTGTATAAAACAGTATTCTCAAAATGAAACAATTACATGTGATACAGCAGGATTTTTCACAACGAAGCTGTATCATTGTACTGTCTTGCCAAAGGTGATGAAATTCAATTGAATATGAAATAAAAGGATATCGATTTAACTTTACAATTGTGCGACAGTTCTAAATTATCTTCTCGAATCTAGGTTAGCCATGAATTGTACTCGTTGTAATAAAAAGAAATCGCCCGCTTTTATTTCTCTTTTACTTTCTCTCCTTGCCCCACACCCACAACTTTTTTTTTTTTTTACATATCTCTTTCTATCTTATTTATTATTTTTCCTTCTTTTAAATTGTCCTAAATGCACATATCTGGAACATGAATATGCATTTAGCTGTCAATTTGAAACATCTTAATCGATTTCTATCAAACAAAATAACAAAATAAAAGATATTTACAAAGCTTTTGTTTACCAGAGACATTTTAAATTTTCATAATCAAAGTTAGTTTCTCTAGTTCATGCAGCGTTGATAAAATCTCCTGTAATTACCATTGCGTGGCAAACTTACTAATACTTATGCACATAGATAAATAGACAAAAACAAAGTGAAAGGCAGATAAATAGACAAAGACAAGCAGACATATAGACAAGCAGATAAATAGACAGGCAGATAAATAGACAGGCAGGTAAATAGACAAGGACAGACAGACAAACAGATAAACAGACAAAGACAGACAGACAAACAGATAAATAGAAAAACAAAGACAAACACAGGCAGATAAATAAAAAAAAAACAGATAAATAGAAAGACAAAAACAAACGGATAAATAGACAGGCAGATAAAGAGACAGGTAAAGACTGACAGACAAAGACAGAGACAGACAGATAAATAAACAGAGAGACAAAAACAGACAATAAAAGAAAAAGTCAATGACATAGAAATAGACAGAAAGAAAGACAGAGAGAAAGAAAGACAAACAAAAAGAAACAAACTGACAGAAAGAGCTAGAAAATATATAGAAAAAGAGAGATTAGACAATAGAGATAGATAGGCAGAGAGAGAAAAAGACTGAGAAAGACAATGTTAGAGAGTAATATGCATAAATATTTATTTATATTAACCGAGAAAGAGCAGATACAACAACTTGATCTTAACTAGAAAAAAAATGCGGTTAAAGTGTTTTTTTATTGTCCGCTGTATGTTCTTGATATAAACCTGACATCCTTTTATTTTCGCTAATATATGTAAAAAGAATTAAATTGATACTGCAATGTAACTATTTAAGTACATACTTAATGTCATAGCATATTTACACCAGTGTTAAAAGGACAGAGTTAAAAGGACAAAATGAAAGTTAAAATAACTATGATACCGATCTCAAGAAATAGTAGTTGCTAAAAATTTGCCTTAGGAAAGAAAAAGATCCTCGACCGACAACGAACATTTTTGTCGTTTTTATAACTGCGATTTATAACTTGATATAAAATTAGTATATTGTTTGAAAAAATTTTTTAAACTAAATCCTTACATCACTATGTGCTACTTAACGAAAATTTTGCTTTAGAGTGAATGTCGTTTTTAACTAATAACTGATACGATTTAAAAGTAAAAGCTTTTGATATTTTTCCTATCCCTTCCTTAAACTTGAAAATTTGAGAGGAGTATATTTTCCAGTTTGTAAAACATTTATTTTGATTGACAAAGTCAGAATGTTTATGCGCCTATTGACAATAGAATGTATATAGTTTCATTTGCATTAAGAGCAGTTGCCGAATACGATTAGAAACGATTGAAATTTTCAGCACCCTTATATATATATATATATATATATATATATATATATATACCCGATTTTTTTAATTGTGTATCGAGCACTTTTTAATATAACCGTTTCCTAGTCCAATTTAACTCTGACCAACAACTGTTTAACCATATATATATATATATATATATATATATATATATATATATATCATCCACAGACAGACTGTTTCGCTGTATCACAGGTCATCAGTGTGGCTAGACGTCCGTTGCCTCTAGCTAGGATCGAAACCCGGCTGAATTGGCGCTTGGCATGGATAAAGGTGAATTTAACCGTATTTATTTTTGATAAACTATATATAAACAGATTTATTTTACGAAATATATATGTGTGTGTTTGTGTGTGCATATATATATATATATATATATATATGTATGTATGTATATATATATATATAAAATCACATTCTCAATATATTTCGTAACTAAAAGACCTACATAACGTTTGTAAGTGCGATATTTTAAATAAAGAAAAAATAAAACCAAAATAGCACGAAACAAATCTTCTTTGATTTTATGTAAACGAGCTCCTCCTATGAAGGTGGGATGTGACCCAAGGTCTTTTTTTAATGTCAGGTATATATGGGCCAAGGAGAAAAATCGCCCAGTCCCCCGTTACCACTGTCGCGCTGGTTTCGATGTTACACCGACCCTATCAGATACTATGCATTGATCTCGGCACAAAACACTTTCATGATGGTTTATGAAAGTGCTCAGGCATTAAACAATTTATATTGAAATTTTCACCGAATACTAGAAAGAATTGAAAAAAAAATAAAAGAATAGAATAGAAAAAGTACTTAACAAAGGACTTTCGTCGGTCTTTAACCAAACCTGCATAATCAAAACTGATGTCCAAACACCGTAAAACATAGACATAAATCGGCCATAATTAAAACATTTTGAAAGAACAGTCAGATCAGATATTAAGCGTATGTAATGTCTAAACACAACAGATATCGTTCCTACGGCAAAAGAGTGAACAAACATTTATTTACGATGTGTATTAAAGCGTTTGCATGCCAATAGCAATTTTATAACAGAAAATCGTTGTGAACTTGGTGTATGTGTGTGATGATGATGGTCATGTAAATAAGCAGGAATTAGTTATCTGTCTGGTGTTGTGCGTTCACAGAGAATGTTCTTTTACAGTACTTTCTCCTTAATGATGTTTTGTTTTTCTATTCTTTCACACTCAGTAACCTGTTTGCGGCTTAGTGGCTTTATTGCCTTGCTTAAAATATTTAAATGCAATGTCAATCCCTATCTACTATCTTTTGAATTCCTCTTCTTTTATTGTCCTCTCTCTTAATAACGATGTTTTCATATTCGTTCTCTCACAGTAACCATTTGTGTCTTCGCGGTATTATCGCCTTGCTTGGGATGAAATGATTTTTTTAAAATTATGTTTCGACTCCTCAAAAGAACAAGGTTGTTCCGAGTCGTCTGATTCCCCATTCTTCGAGGAAAATATTTATTTAATCCTGTGCGGGATCAAATAAATATTTTCCTATATATATATATATCCTATATATATATATATATATATATATATATATATATATATATATATCCCTATATATAGGATATAACATCATCATTAAACGAAGAAAAAAAATCACAATATTGATCCATATTTTTAATCCAATCTAAGCTTTCGGCTTACATAAGCCATTATCAAAGATGCCAATTACTGTACAACATATTAAGCAATATAAGGGGGAAAATGATGATAGTCTGTGATTGTTTTAATGGATGATTTCCTAGCAACGATAAACACATGCATATAAGACGCTAGAAGCGAAAATCACACCGCAGCTCATGACGTCACACATGACCACACACATTATATATATATATATATATATATATATATATATATATATTGTTTGTATTTAGGCAGCATTTTTTTCATTCATACATGTTTTCATTCATAAATGTTTTCATTCATACATGTTTTCATTCATACATGTTTTCATTCATACATGTTTTCATTCATACATGTTTTCATTAAATAATATAGAAAGTGTTGTCTATTCTGCACATCACTGGCTATGAGTGTCAGATTCCCCAAGTCCTCTTTCCTCATTATGTGTCTTATAGATTTCATCTGTCTCTTTCTGATTCTAAGTATAAAAGAAAAGGTAAACGAATAAATTGATAATAATAGATTCGAAACACTTTGCAATATTATCTTTTGTTTTCAGTACGTGAGTGTCTAAGTAAACAGTTAAATATATAGATGAATGCTGTTGATGCAAATACATTCCATGGACGCTTGCTTCATGCACATTTTTGCAACCACGCATGCGCATTTTTTACACTTTTGAAAACGGGCCTTTTACGTAACAACTGTTCATCGTTTCCTGTTCATTAATGTAAGCAATTTTATTTATATTCGTTTAACTGAGCGCTATATCGTTATTCTCCCTCCTCCATCTTCTTTACAAATTTGGCTGATTTGTGTTTTGTATACATACATATTCTAGAATGAGGAAGAAATACAGACAGAGAGATTTACCCCTTCATAAGTATATCTGGTCTTCATATGGATTAGTTAAAATCGGGTGGATATTTTGTGCAATATACATTATTATTCGAATTCACTATTCATAGTTTGCGAGATAATCGCATATTTTCCTTTAAAACTAACTTCACTGAGACACACACGTGTAGTAAGAGTGCATGGACATACACAATTATGACGCTGAATCCGGTATCAGATTCAGTGATACACTTAATTACTTTTTTTATCATTTTTTATCGGTATCACCCCATGCAAGGCAGTAAAGCCACTAAGACACAAGGGATTACAGGTTGTAGAAGAATTAGGAACAGAAACATTAATAATGAGTGGGAAGAGGAAAGAGTAAATTGGAGAAGAGTAGATAGCGATTGACATTGCATTAATTTTTTTTTCAGATTAAAGGTGTCTGAAAAGTATGGAGCCAGAAAAAAATTCCAAAACGTGAACTGCGAGAAAAGAAACTGTTAGCATAGAATTTACGGCGACATCTGGCCAGTTCAACTGTAAATTGATGAGATCTCGATTCCAGTCTAATACTACGCTTAAATTCAAAAAGTCTAGGTACCATATCGAAGAGTTTTTTTTTTTCCGAACAATTAGCATGAAACTATTTATAGAAAAGACATGAAGAGGCAACCTTACGGTGGTGGGAAAGTGACTGAAAGCCGCCAGATCAGAACCAATAATATTAATAATAATAATAATAAATATACGAAGGTTCTTTCATTAGTTAATATTTATTCTTTAATAACGTTTTAACTATAGGACATTGAGTGATTTTATTAACTGTATAATATATAGCAAATAAACACACACACACACATATATATATATGAAGAAATATACTCTTAAGGTGTGCTATTTATGGGATAAAGTGCTCAATATCAGAGATAGAGCGTGTGTAAATATAAAAGTGAACATTGAAGTCAACATTTAGAGGCCTGACGATTGCGTCTAGCATGAAACAGCATGTCGCCTCTAAGTGTTGACTTCAATGTTCACTTATATATATATATATATATATATATATGAGGGAGAGAGAGAAAGCTTAGACTTGATTTGCATATCTATGAGCATATACATATTTTTCACCCATTCTAGGAAGAGCTATTGATATCGGTAGAACTGTAACATCAGTTCACCTATCATAAAAAAGCACCAATTTAAATGCATCTAAAATTCCCGGAAATAAATATTTTAGACACATTTTACATGTTTCTTTCTCTATAATCCCAATGCCGCTGTGTTCTTAAATCAAAGAAGCAATATTTGTTTTTTAAGTTTTACGTGTTTCATTCATTCGTTCGTATTAGGGGGCCCATTTGAACGGGCTGCAGTGGCAAGCTACAGAACAAGAGCGTCGTTCTTTTGACATGTTGGCGTTTCCTTAAGATTTCTCTTTGGTTACTTTGTCGCGTGATATTTTGTTTACATTAGAAATAAAACTGGTCTTCTAAAAAAAAAAAAAAAAAAAACATAGCTTATAAGGAAGGGATAACAAACGTAATTAAATTTTGTCTTCTGCTTTCCAGTGTTTATGAATTTAAAATGTGGGCGATTTAAATAAAGTTTTTCTTCATCCGAAAAGAGAGAAAGCAGGCAACATGTTGACAGACAACAAATGACAAGAAAATAGAATATAATAAAAATTAATAATTTGAAAATAAAGATTCCCGGGTAGATTTACAACGAAGATTTAAAAAAAAAAATGCTACTATGA